GTAAACAATTTTTTTACATAAAAATTTTAATTTTGCGATATTTATTTGGACCAATGAGAACATTATTCGCATTTCATAATAAACAAAATTTGTTCCTGTATAACGTTTTATTATTTTATAACACAACTTAAGGTTAACCAAGAAAAATTTTTTATAAAATAATATTAATTTTTAAAATTTACCCCGTATAAGCACATTTATGGCACTCCTTATACTATTTAACAACCCGTATGCTCAATAAGCATTGCTTATTCAATGAACTTATCAATAACATGTGGTTTTTGAGGGGCTGATTACAAATTTGATATCCATTTCTTCAAAAAATAAAATGGCTGATCCAATATGACGAAAATTTGTCGTTCGGCTTTAATGGTTTGGGTAAAATTTAGTATTTAGATATTTATGGGGTCCCTGATTAAGAATTTGATATCCATTCAAAAAACAAAATTGCGGATTCAAAATGACGGACATGCGCAGTACGTACAAGATGGTTGGATCTATGTGGAGTAGTTACATCATATAGACGCAGTAGTTTTCATCTGAAAACTACTGCGCCTATATACTACACTGAGAAAAAAAATGGGACAAATAAACTGTGTAGCTAATCCTTTTATTAATAGTGAAATTCAGAAATTCAGAATATATTGTTTATTACCTCTAAATAGTCGAAATAATAACGATAAATATACTTTAGTAAAACTTTATGTGTCGGGAATAAAAATATATTTAGGATAAATATACTGTACCCTTGTCCCATATTTAAATATTTATTTTATTTGGGAGCAATAAACTTTTTTCTCAGTGTTACAATTACATCTATAGATGTAACTACTCCACATAGATCCAACCATTTGATTCAAATGTGCGACATTTTCGGCGTAAAAAGTCTTACTTTATCAGTGTGGTCTTGGCACAATTTTTTTTTATTTCCAGTTTAAATTTATATAGAAAAAATATAAACGAATACGTATTTAATTGCAAGTAATTTTTGTATTCATACATAGGTACTTTTACCACGAGAGAAACGAGACGAGACGAGAGAAAGGCACTCTCGAGCGAGAAAAGAGTATTCTCGACGAGACGAGAGACCCATTTTCTCTCGCTGCACGAGACGAGACGAGAGAAGGACTTTTCTCGTCTCGTCTCGTCTCGCGGCATCACTATCAAAAATGTGTGACATCATTTATGGACGGCCCCTTAGAAAATTGATTAATAAAGTAACAATTCTATTCAAAATTCTTTTCATTTAAGTTCCCAATTTCCAACAAATACTTTTGTTACTGTATAACACAATAATAAGTTAATGTTGTTACAGAAACGTCTTATTTTGTTTACTTATTACACCCTTAGATTAGACAAATAAGCTTATATTCTTTTCTTAGTGCAGAAAAGGAAAAATATGCAAATAAAAAGTGATTTGTTGATGAATGCGACGCCAAAAGACTTGTAATCTGTCTGAATCTCTTATTGTGCTCGGCTATTTCCTGTCGCGCTGACCAATAAACACAGGTAGGTCGGTTGTTATCGGCAAATTGACTGACAGTTATATGCTTTTATTATTTAAGTAGCTTAGAGTGGATTTATTATTACGGTTTTCAAAAGGGATTCGGTAGGCATGGCCAATAAAAATAATGAAATGTGGCAATCAGCACAAATATTAGTCCCAAACACCAAATAAGCACAAAGCGACAAGTGGTTATTGTCTGACAGACAATGTCTGTCTATATAATACAGTTTTTATTTTTTTTTTAATTTAATTTTCGAAGCTTTGTTTTGTGTCAATAATCGAATTACATTTCTAAAATTATATAGTGATTTTTCACCACAATTTTCATGAGCAAAAAATAGGAATGGAAAAATTTTATTCAAATAAAAAAATAGATTTTTAGCATGTTGTGTTTTAAACACCCTTTCTAGAGGTGTTAGATCTGGCGATCTTGGTGGCCATTTTATGAAAGTGTTTATTATGCATTTATACTATATGGGTGATTCTACAAAAGTTGGACAACTTGATGTCATCAGTCAATAGAGTAGGTATTTTAATATTTTTTGTAAATATTTTAGTATATTACAAAATATACAGGTTTTTTTTTTAATTTTAATGTATTTTTTCAAAAGTACGTTTGTATACTATAGAAAAACATAATAAATATTCAAAACATCAGTACCTTGGCGTGTCACAACTCCTGAATCAAATATTTGAGTGGTTTTATTTTTTAAATATATTCAATTTATCTTAAATTTTTCAATTTCACTACAAACTATAAAACATTAAATAATGTATTTTTCATATTTTATCATAGATTCGAATAATAGAAATTTTTAAAAAATTGATAATCTTTGTACTCACTTTTACCCTTCAGTTCTGTGTCCAATGTTAAAATTCAAAATTCCTGCGAAATATTAAAGTTTAAACGTCAAGTCCTCGTTTTAACTCAAGTGTTGGTAAAAAAATACCTACAGAGCCCGCCCTTTGCACGACAGTCATCTTGAAAACAATGCAAGCGGCGAAGTTGTGGTGGATGCACGTATAGTTCCATTCAAAATTTCAGTACTGTGGTGAGTAGTTATTTTATTACGTATATATATTTCATTGTAATTTATATAAGGCTACATGTGATTTGTTGATAAGTAGCATCCACTAATAAAAAATATCAGTAAAATACTTAATTCCGAATTATAATCTCAAATTTGTATCCCATTCATCAGTACCGCGTCGTCAGTTCCATGTTCGATGTTTCGGTTATCTTTTTTCGCAAACTTCAATTTAAATTCTGCTTGCGCAGAACTTGTTTATTTAATGTCATTATAAACTCATATAAATTTGGTGTGGGTCCCATATCTAATAATTGAGATATCGGTATACCCAAAATCCACCAGCCGCCACTGATGTGTGGTATTATTTGATTTTAAAATATTTAATGTACAATATGCTCAAAGTTGCAATAAATCTTATATTTTCCAATAAATTATGTATTTAATTAGTACCCTGATATACTCGTCAATTTCCTTGCATTCAAATTTAGAAAACACAGATATTTCAGAAACTGTTTGAAAAAGTGAACAGGAATTTATTATATTATATTATCTATGTTCTCATAACAAAATACTGTTTAATTTTCTCCGAAAACTATATAAACAAAATGATGTCAAAAGTTGCCTAACTTTTGTAGAATCCCCCATATCATATTATTTTATTTATTTTAAATTTTTTAGAACAAAAGCACATAATTATTATTATATAATTTCATCAGGGTTGTCATTTTTTTGGAAACAGCTGTAATAAAAATATTTTTAAAAATTATTTAAACAAACATTTTTTTGAAATTTTAACACCCTGTATATCAAAAATGTTTATATGAAAAACTAATCTTTTTCTAAATAAATTTTGGAAATTATATATACATAAATATCTCGTGATAGTAAAAAGCCTATTTTCTGTAAAATAAAAAATAAAAAATTCTCTTCTTTTTTACTGTGAAAACCTGCTTCTATATCGATTGCAATGTTAGTCTATTTTCAAGATATAAATTTTGATTTACACAGAAAAATTTGAGATTTTTGTACCTTTAGCATTTCCCGGGTAAGAATTTTTAATACTTTGTGATAATATTTTGCAATTATGGTAATAAAAAATCAAAGGATAACATGTTTTTTTAACATAATTATATTTTGAATTTATTTTAATATTTTAATTTCCAAATTGTAACAATATTTAATAATACCTACAACAAATTAAACTGTTTTGCAGTAACTAATCCTAAAAAGTTTTCCATTACATCGATGAATAATATCCACATTTTGATCGACGTTTTATTATATTTCGTTTCCAATAGACCATGTTGTATCGAATGAAAAAATCTGTTCGACAGCAAAAACGATAATTTCATTGATCAATAAGACACACGTGCAAAACTGTAGAGAACCTCGAAGACAGAACAGACTCTTATATACGCTGAAGTTCTTCATCTTAAACGAACACCTGCAACTTTACAATGGAACGAAGCCTCACCTCATAGGTTATAAATTTTTAACTTTTAATCTTCGCATAAAAATTGAGAAAGACCGTTGATTGAAGTATTGATACAAAGAGGTTGTGTAAGAATTCAACATAATATGTAGGAAATACTATTTCCTTTTAAATTACAAAAAGCAACGCAAGAACACGTTTTTAATAACAATGAAAAATAATAACTATTAAGGACCTATATAGTATTGTTCCTATATTAAATACCTCATAAGGTACTTATAATTAATATTTTTTAAGGTAAAATACTCTTTTAAAACCTCATATTGTAATAGGTGAAATACGTTTTATATTCTATAAACATAGTACCTACTAAAACGTTCATAAAATTTCATTTAAAAAATTCTACACATGATGTTTTTACGGTACCATTTATAGTTAACACTCATAAAAGCATAAAAACAACATTTAAAATCACAACATACCTACAGTGTAATTTAAGCAATATTGTCCTGTAAACAGGGGCGTAGCAAAGGTTGAGATTATGGAGGGGTGCTTTTTATTAAAATGCCGACTCATCATTAATACAAACAATAATTATAGTTGTCAGCACTTTTCGTAAAAGGTAAACTGAAGTGAGTAGTTATATCCCAAATATACAAAAAAAAATAGAATTGTTTGTATTTTTAAAATGAACTCCAGACGATAATAATTTTTCTAGAAAAAATTATTGGGTGCACCTTTAAAATTATGTATATGTCATAGAAAAAGTGTCTAAAATGGCGTATATCAAACTTGATACATAATAATATACCAGAGACAAAGAAGGTTAATAATATACTATTAACTAGCACCAAAATTTATAAAATAATCAAGTTTGCTTGTTTGGTGCTCTAGCTGCCATCTAGTGGGTACTTTGCGTACTTACCTAAAATTACCCAATAAAGAATACTGCTACTACTTAGTGGCTTAAATATAAGTTGATTTGGTTACTCGCTACTAGAGGGAGCTACATGCAATTTTAAACAATAAATTTTAAAATAAATGCTTTATTAATAAACATACACAAACAAAATATAACAATCTCTTATCTCGAAAAATATTGCTATGATATAGTCCTATAAACATATTTTATAAATCAACTCTTTGAAAGTATCTATTGTTCTTAATTAATTGTTACAAATCTTCGTCGTCGGTTAACGAAATGGCGCTTCCAAAAAGTTCGGAATTTTTGCTGGCAAAATCCTTTTTGGCGGCCTCAGATAAATTTTTCTGAGCCACCGAAAATCGCCTGTTGCCTCCATTAGGTTTGAGGGGTTTTTGGAGGGAGCTAAAAATGTTTAGAGTAAGTATACAAAAATTTTGTTTTATTTTTTTTTAATAAATGTATTACGTTACTTTTTCTTTCTATCAATTTTTCCTTCTGATTCCGAACTTTTTATTCTGTCATTTTTGGAGTCGTTGCTTCTTTCGTCCCAGGAGTTGTGTCTTTTATGACCGAATATTCCAGTACTACAATAATTATTATAATGAGAAAAGCATTAATTTTGTGAAAAGTTTTATTTGTTTATTTATTTATTTACCCATTGCCAATTTGTCTTTTAGTCAATTCTTTTTCTATGTAGTCTGGAACATTATTGGAAGAATTTTTACCCTAAAATTCAAAATAAAAATAAAACATTTTGGTGCAGGCCCAGAGAACCATGGTTTGGGAAACTAATAGGTATTTCAAGACCTTCTCTAAAAAAAGGCGTAAGGGTTAAAACCTTGAAAGGGAAATTCTTGGCCAAATTTTAACCTGATGTGGCTCTCTGGGGGGACGCATTAAATTTTAGGTAATTTGAGTATACCTGTTCCTTTTCCGATTCAGTGCTAGTCCAAATATTCGTCGAAGTATCCGAAGAATTCAAAGCATCTGCGGAAAACGCAGGCCGTTGTATCATCGGCGATCTACAACATATTCTGAAAGAAATAACTCCACTTCCGACTTCTCTAAATGTTGTCTATACTTACGAGTTCACTTCCTCCAGCTTCTTCAGCAACCTCTCGTTTTCCCTGCACACGATCTCGTGGTCCCGTTGCAGCATCTCTCTCGAAGAGTACAGTTCTCCGTTGTCAAGGCGTAAGGCTTCGTTTTCTTTCATGTAGAGCCTAACGAGTTCCGCCAGCTGAGGCCCTTCGAGTTTGGCGAGCTCTTCTAGATCTACGTGGGGTGGTGTCGTCACTAGAGGTCGTTTTTCTGTGGAAAGAAAGAAACTTCTAGTCGGTGACCCAACATCGATCCCGACTTCTCACGAGCTGGCACGAACCGCCTTATAACGTGACGTCATAATAATAATCCGGTTTTGTTCCCCGAACATACAAAATTTGTTGTCAAGCTAAATAGCTTAGATGGTAGGGCGTTTGCTTTGCATGCGAGAGGTCCCGGGTTCGATACTCAGAAGTTGTCGAATTTTTTTTACTTTTTTATTTCATAAATTTGTTGTTCCTTTGTTAAAAAGTGTTTTATTTTTATCGTAACATAAATTTGCCCATTTTAGTTGGGTTTTTTGCTCAATGGGGCGGGGGGGGGGCCAATGGGGCGGGGTCGGTTGGGTTGTGTTGTTGAGTTTGGGTTGGTTTGGTTTTATTACGTAACTAACGTGCCCTTAACATGTATACAGGTACAATTTATTATTATATTATTGTTGTGCCGTCAATTTTAAATGATAATGATGCATTGTATAATATATAATAAATTCTTTGTCCAGTCGGGATCGATGTTGGGGCACCGGCTAGAAGTTAGTTGGAAAGAATAATGGTGTAAGACAATTTTGTTTGATATATATTCCGGCCCCCTTGGGGGCTTCCAAAAATTGCCTTGGCGCACGGTATTTCACGTGCACGTGGCGGGGTATTGGTTAAAGTTTTCAACTAGCAATAATCGCACCTCGGATTTACCTCATTGGTTACGATAATGCTCCTGCGCAAAGCTAACGAAACATATTCAAGGCGACCTTTATATACTTGAGAGTTAAGTCAAGAGCGGTGAGAAGTATTACAACAATACGCGGTACAGGCTGCACCGTACAGGTAATAAGTTGATTTACAGATGCATACCTTATTGTAATTTTAACGCTATATTGGTATTTTATTAATTCAATTTTTCTTAGTCGTAGCAAAACACATTCTTTATTAAATTCTTTATTTATAGTGCGATTTTAACCGGATTTGTTTTAAAGTGTAAGTCTTGATAAACTGTATTTTTGGAGCAAAAACGCCATATTTGTACAAAATACAAGGCCTACTATGTCATTCGCAAACAAATGGGTCATACTGACGTATGATACTGTATACATGCATTAAATTGTGTCGCAATTATTGTGATATAAATGTACCTTGTTGCTTTTTTAATTTAAATGTTTTAGAGGTTCTTTCTCTTTTCTTTCTTCTTTTTAACAATAAATAAGCGGCAATTGCTCGTCTTTGTCGCCAATGGTATAGCTGCAACTGCCAATGATATAATTCTCTATACATAATACAAAAACAAAAAATTAACACCACTTCACGTATAAAAACAAAAAGAAAATGTTAGGTTATCCAGTGTTGCCAGTTTGTCAAAGCGCCAAATCCAGATGGAGCTATAAGTAAGTGTCCCCTTAAATAATTATTATTAAATTCAAATTCTTTTTCACGCAAAAAACAAGGAATCCAACGATGTCATTATCCCAAGTAGCATTTTAAGTAAAAGGCGTAGAGCTTTGAGGCAATATTACTTAATTTAATAATAATAATATTTTGTTAAATTAACCTTAAAAATTTACTTTGAAGTAAAACTTATAAAATATAAATTAAAAGAACAAAGAAATTACGAATGTCATATTTTAGAAAGAGAGAGATTATAGCGTTATTTTTAAGTTTATGGTATTTATATTGTTTTTATTGCGTTATTCTCTTAGTAGATCAAAAGGTTATTATTATGTAGGTAAAATAACGAAATAAACCATTCCCCAAATTTAAAAAAACAGAAACAATAATAATATAACTAAACTTGGTTATATTTAAAAAAAACTTTGTACCTCTGGTGGGACTCGAACCCACAATCCTCGGCTTAGGAGGCCGATGCCTTATCCATTGGGACTGTCTACAGTTCCTACCAGTAGGAACTTAAGTCTTCAAGACTAAAGTTCCTACTGGTCGGAACTGCAGCCACTGAGTCAAAAGTTACTACCAGTCGGAAATTCTGTTATGGACGCCAAAGTTACTACCACCTGTTTAGATTAGAAATGGCCTATTTGGGAAATAATGTTCAAATCTTTACTTGTTCTGCACAAAAAAAACATTTTATAAAAATCTTTGACTTATTTTATTACAATAATGTTTAATCGTTAAGTAAAGTATTACTTAATGGTCTAATATTATATACAATTCGTTATAAATGAAAAATTGAATCAAACATATTTTTTCATTATTGTATAAAGAAGTTTTACTAATCTTATAAGAAAGAGTATTTCTATAATAACTATAGTTTTGGTATCTTTGCTAAAAGGCTTAAATTCAAGATATATATTTAACAACAAACATTTATTTAGTAAAAACAAAAATAAAATGTAACTTAAAATTAATGGTAAAACATAAAAAATATATCCTTTTTAACTATTTATAAATAAAATATTAAAGTATCTTGCGATTTAGGTAGGAAATCCAGAAATATATCTAGTTTTCTAAATATATTTATAAATATATATGTATATACATATATACAGGGTGTCTCAACAGCTATGGTACCTTAGACGTTTACAGAGAACGGCTGAGGATATCAATTTGAAATTTTTATAGCAATTATTGTACAATTTAATTTAGCTTTTAAAATTATTTTGAATAAAATTCCTCTTCCGGTTAAACCGGAAGCGACATCAACTTTGTTATTTCCAATGGAACACCCTGTAAATTTTTTATTTTTAAATTCCTCATGAAATTCTTAATAAAATTGCTGTACCATTCCCTATACCTAAACTTAATAGTTTTCGAGTAAATAATTTTTAAAAATTTACAGGGTGTTCCATTGGAAATAACAAAGTTGATGTCGCTTCCGGTTAAACCGGAAGAGGAATTTTATTTAAAATAATTTTAAAAGGTAGATTAAATTGTACAATAATTGCTATAAAATCTTCAAATTGATATCCTCAGCCGTTCTCCGTAAACCTCTAAGGTACCATCGCTGGTGAGACACCCTGTATATATATATATATATATATATATATATATATATACATGTGTTTCATAATATATGCGCAGGACTTCAGGATGTGATAGCTCATCCAAAAAGATGAAAAAAATCGCTATTAACTTACCCTCTAAAATGCACAATTTTCGAGGGTGTGTAAATTTTAGAAAAAAAATTGTTTTTTTCGAATATCTCCGGAACCATTTATCGTACAAAAAACAGCTTTTGTAAGCATTTTCTACTCATAATAAGCTATGTTTTGTGCCAGAAAATTTTTATTTTTACTTATAATTGGTGGAAATTTTGAAGGGGTAGCGGGTGTTTTTTTCCTCAACTTCTACGCTTCTGAAAAAAGTACGGTTTTGAGAGGCCCATTCCATCCGCCAATGTTTTCTACACAAAAAAGGTACTCTTTGTCATAAGCTCTAAAATTGACCGTTTTCAAGAAAAATCAACTTTTATGTTTAAAAACATGGTCAATTAAAAAAAAAATTTTTTTACTAATTAAACAAAAATTATTTTTATCAAAGACAACTTTTGAATTTTTTTTTTTTTTATTTTGCAATTATCGTTTGGTTTTGTTACTTGTTTTAAGGTTACAGTATAGACAAAGAGCGGGAACCACAGAACACCAAGTTCCTACTGGTAGTAACTCTTGACCAGGTGGCTAAAGTTCCTAGCAGTAGGAACTTTAGACTCGGCGACTAAAATTCCTACTGGTAGGAACTGTAGACAGTCCCTAATATTTTGTTAAATTAACCTTAAAGATTTACTTTGAAGTAAAACTTATAAAATATAAATTAAAAGAACAAAGAAATTACGAATGTCATCTTTTAGAAAGAGAGAGATTATAGCGTTATTTTTAAGTTTATGGTATTTATATTGTTTTTATTGCGTAATTCTCTTAGTAGATCAAAAGGTTATTATTATGTAGGTAAAATAACGAAATAAACCATTCCCCAAATTTAAAAAAACAGAAACAATAATAATATAACTAAACTTGGTTATATTTAAAAAAAACTTTGTACCTCTGGTGGGACTCGAACCCACAATCCTCGGCTTAGGAGGCCGATGCCTTATCCATTGGGCCACAGAGGCTTGAAATAAAAATATCAACAATTGACGATCGGCGCTACCGCTAATTCTTTAATCTAATTTTAATCTACGCATTTATAACCGTCCCACCTCTTAGATAAGTAATTTATCTATCGCGCGCCGCCACCGCGGTATGACGCACTTGCCTGTTAACGCGTCTCCTGGTGCGGCGGAAGAGGCCGAGTACACGTTCAAAGCAGATCGGAGATGGTCGTTCTCGCTCTGCAGAACGGTGACCTCGCGCTTCAGGTTCAGGATCAAGGCTTCGCGAGGGTCCTGAAAACAAAATCCAAACTATGAACAGAACTTTTTGAGAACATTGAGTTTAAAATTTATACTTTTGACGTCACATTAAAACAATTTTTTAATACATATTTCGGTAAGAAAATACATAAATAATACCTATTAATTAAAATAAATGAGGCGCCATAATATGTTTCATAATTATTTCATTCGATATACTATACCTATAAAATCTTTTCCAGAAAAGAACAATATATAAGTTATATAAGTTGATACGATTCGAAAATAGTATATTAAAGAACTAATGTCATAAGACGTCATTTTGTTTTATTTTTTATGCTATTTTATCTATTTTGCAAAAATTCTATAAAAAAATTAATTTTAAACCTTAAATTTAATTTGATCGAATTTTACTTTAGATAGTTGGTATCACAGTCATTGGTTTGACTGTTAATGTCATAATCGATTCGCCATGCCGTCCTTAATTTACTTATTTACAATAAGCGGCTGTTAATTTTAAAGAAGAAAAAAGGATTTTCTTTGGTGTTAAACAAAATTTATTGCCAGAAAAGTCTCGTAAGTACTAGAAAAACCAACAAAATATTATAACCAATATGCAAAATATGTTTAGTAAGTATAGCCAAAGTATAAAATCAAAATTCACAATAGGTATTGTCTACTGCGCCGCCGGCGGGTTTTTGAAAATTTTATGGCTTCCCCGCCGCCGGCGTTTTTTAAATTTTATTGCCGCACCGTCGTTGTTTACTAAGGTTATGTTATACCTTTAAATAACTTTATTCAAAGTGTTATACCTATATAAGTGGAATTATGGTTATGTTATTAGCCGTATATATGTAAAAATGGAAGATATTGTTGTTGTTTCCTTGGAATCACATTAAATTACATCACATTTGATGTTATAATAATTATTAATAATAATATCGTTACGTAAATGTGTAAAACTGACAAGTCCATTTTTTGCAGTTTATGCATTTTTCGTACCAAATGGTTTTACACATTTAGGTGACGATATGTTAACATTTTTAATGTTAATTTCAAAATATTAGTTGAACAGTACAAGGCAGATCGTTGACTAAGATTTTGGTATAAAAAACAATAGGTAATAGTATTACTATTACGGGATTGGCGGTTCAACGCCATTCCACATCCTAAGATGTGGATATTGGTTATTCAACAGAGTTATTTAATAGTAAAAATGTTTTTTTAAGCATTTAAACCAATATTGGATAAAAAATGTATACCTACATGTCCTAGCATTAAGTTAACAATTGTTAATATCAATTAACATTGATTTTTGACCAGTTATTCATACAAAAAAATCAGCTTGTTTTAAAAAAATGTGCCACCCATAAAAAGCTTGAAAATATCAAAATGCGTCAGGAGAAAAAATACTTACATATATTGCAATATACTTTTATATTTCATTAAAAAAATCTTTTACACAAGAAAATTTAATATTTAAATTTAATTATAATATATAATTATTTAAGTCAATCTTTTGGCCCTTTTAATGATAAGCATTCCTTTTAATAATAAGCTACTCAATTAATTTTTTTCCTAGCGAAAAAAGATTTTTGTCATTCCTTATTTTACTTGATAAACATTCTGGAGAAAAAAATGCTTGTTTTATCTCATCTTAAGATCAAACCCTATAGACAATATATACCCAACTTGGGTGGCTGGGGATTTTAGTCAAATCCATTGTTTCCCTAAAATTAAAAAATCATAAACCTTATAAATTTAGAAATACTAATAAAACTTACGAACTCAAAAAATTTGGTACATTCTATCCAATTGTCTTATTTTAAATATACTATTGGACCACATTTAGATATTGCCTTTAAAATTGTGTGGGAAAAAGGCTTTGCAGCAGTTTTTACTTTTTTTCAAGCAGGACCTTGGACATTTGGAAAGTTTTTTTAAATTTCATAGCCTATTGACAAATCCAATGAGCTTGTTGTATTTAAAAATTCTTCAACTATATTCTTGTTTATTTCTTTGCCATCAATCATAAATCCATCCTATGCATAATCAAGAAAATTGTTACAAACTAATTTTAACAGGTGTGGTACCTACACCAATAAATACAAAAATGATTTCATTTGTTGTGGGATTCTTGAAGGTGTTGCTTTTTAATTGACGTTTACATTAACATTCAACAAGTTTTCTTGTACCATAAACATAACCATATAAAATACACTAATGAAATACATAACATAACCTCTGTACACTAACGGCAAGGACGGTGCTGCAATAAAATTTAAAAACGCCGGCGGCGGCGTAGCCATAAGATTTTTAAAACCACGCCGGCGGTGCGGTAGACTCTGCCTTCACAATAAGCAAAAACTATGTAACCCTATTAATATAGACATTGATAAAGATGTTATTGTGTCCACTGATAGTGTAAAATTCTTGGGTTTATGCATAGACAAAAACTTAAATTTTAAACTTCACTGTCAAAGTATCATTGGCAACTTGCATAGAATGGCCTATTTATTTATCAATCTTAGAAAGGTACTCACTATTTCTCAACTAATAAATTTATATTATGCCCATATTGAATCAAGACTAAGATACTGCATTTGTTTCTGGGGAAGCTCACCCCTTTTTAAAAACGTTTTTATTTCACAAAAAATTTTTTTAAGAATTATAACCGGTTTTAAAAATCAGGAGTCATGTAGACCAGTTTTCAATAATTTTAATATTTTGACTTTGTCTAGTCTGTATGTTTTGGAGTTGTCTGTTTTTGTTTATAAAAATAAATCAAAATTTAATCTAGTCATCAATGTACATAATTTTAATACAAGAAATAACAAAAATTTTTATGTTCCCTCAACAAAACGGGAGATAAAATTTAACTCGCCAGAGTACCTAGGTTTAAAAACATTTAATAAATTGCCAAATTATATAAAAACATACATATTTTTAAAAATAAATTAAAGCAGTACTTATTATCCCTGTGTTTATATGACGTATCTGAATGTTTAAACCAGTAATCTGAATTACATATATGTAAAACTTAAAAAAAAACATATATGTTTTTTTTAAGTTTTACCCTGTATTTTGTATTTTATATGTATTTTATTTTATTCTAGTTAGTTTTAAGTCTTTTATTGTGATATTTACCGACCATTCCTATACAAATACGTACTGTTTTGTCAATTTGGGAAAATAAAGATTATTATTATTATTATTATTAAGTAATTATGAACGCAAAATAGATAAAATATATATATTGAATTTAGGCTAATTTATTAATTTACTAATTATTATTTAGCACCATGCAAAGTTCGATAAAAAAAAATTTAGTTTGAAAAGTCCCCAGGCGATGGCGCTACCTGTTTATGATTTTTGTTTATGTATGTATAATTACCTTAAATAACCTTAATTTAACCTTGAATATCTTTTTATGGAGTGAATTTAGCCAAAAATGATAAAAGACTTTTTTTGTAGAGAATTTGATTTCCCATACGAATATTTATCGTTTTTTTTTTGGGTACTGATTTTTACATGAATTACAAAATTTCAAAGTTAAAAGATCAAATTGTAAAACTATATAAATTTTTAAGGCATGATTGTAAGAAAACGGTTTATCTGACGGGAAATTCCAATCAAACCTTTTTTGTAGAACATTCAATTTTCTTCAAAAAATATTCTTAAGTCAAATTTGTTAAACTCAATGGTTTGGTAGTTCTAAGACAAAAACTCGCTCAGGAAAAAAAATCTAAAATTGCGATGATAGACCTCTTAATATTAATATTATGGACTATGAACAATATTTTCGATATACTTTACAAAAAAAATAATCGATTTTTTTGGCCCAGTCTAATATACCGGGTGTATCTGAGAATAGGCGCACCCCTGTAACTTTTTTATTTTTAAAGATAGACACATGAAATTAACCATGCTAAATTTCATGTGTCTATCTTTATAAATAAAAAAGTTACAGGGGTGCGCCTATTCTCAGATACACCCGGTATATATATGCAAAATTGTAATAAATTTTACTTGTTTTTTTCTGCAAAACAATTTATATATCGAACTATTTTTTTAGAAAAAGAAAACAAAAGCTTAGCATAAAAACTCAACTGAAATAAATTATTTAAAACACATTAATGTACTTTTAACGATACTTCATTAAAATGCAATTTTTCGATAATTATGTTGCGCATTTGTAGGTAATGAATATATTAAGTTTAGATTGATTAATAAATATCGTCTTTATTGAAAGTAAAATTAACCCTGTATTTTGTTTATGGACAAATTTGGTGATTTATTCAAAGAAAACTGAAATTCACACCTTTTTTTCTACGTAACCCTCAGTGCCTTTGATAATTAATAAAAAATTGATTCATAAAAATCAAAAGAGAAATTGAAAATTGTATAAACTTTTTATGAAGAATTTTTTTTCCATTTAAATTTTTTAGTAAATAAATATAAAAGACGAACCATTCAAAATGACTCCAAAAAAATTTAGTTATTGTTCAGTAAATAATCATCGTGGTAAATAAAATAAACTTTTTCTTTCTTACCATCAAAACAATCGGTTTGGTCCGAATTTTCTTTGCCCTTGCTGCATATCGAAGAGTGTTAACCGTTTCGCTCACATTAGATTTTGCAGGAGAAATACAGGCTATCTGCAAATAGTTTACCGATTTGAGAACAATTTTTTTTAAATTAAAAAATTAATACCATTAAAGTTGCTCCATTGCCAGCCAATGAATCAGCTAATAGCTTCGTCAACTTGGAATCCCTGTATGGAATGTGAGATCCTTTTCTTTTTGAGTCGCTCAAAGATGATATACAGTATCCTGAATATTAAATATTAGTTCATATAATATATATTATAATAAAAAACGCACATATTTTTTTAGTGAAATCTATAGACAGTTCATTAATGTAATGTAATGCATATTACATTTCCAATTAACTATCAGGTTCAACTTGACATCAAAATAATTAAATGTTAGACCTTTGCGCCAAACAACGTAACCTATAAATAATAAATTGAGCTATACACTTTACAAAATATAAATGTGTTGAATCAGCTAATAGCTTCGTCAACTTGGAATCCCTGTATGGAATGTGAGATCCTTTAAAGAAATTTCTTTTTGAGTCGCTCAAAGATGATATACAGTATCCTGAATATTAAATATTAGTTCATATAATATATATTATAATAAAAAACGCACATATTTTTTTAGTGAAATCTATAGACAGTTCATTAATGTAATGTAATGCATATTACGTTTCCAATTAACTATCAGGTTCAACTTGACATCAAAATAATTAAATGTTAGACCTTTGCGCCAAACAACGTAACCTATAAATAATAAATTGAGCTATACACTTTACAAAATATAAATGTGTTGAAAAAATCTACAATATTCATTTTACGACAAAAAGTCATTCCTTATAAAAAATTCTGAATCTGAAGAAATTTACTTTCCAACATAAAAATTTAAGATCGCATGTACAGGGTGTTAATAAATTAGGAAAACAATAAAATGCTTCAAGAGAGAACTACCCTTATTTATAACTTTTAACAAAAAATGTATAAAACAAAGTTGTTTATAAACAAACACAACGTCAAAATACAAATTTTCAAATAAAAATTTCAATATTTAAAATAATTCATTTTGTAAACCTTAATCCGCGGACACACTGTATATTACAAGTTTTAAAGTAACAGTTCATTTCAGTCATGACACCAAATCCATCCACATATTATATGATTTAAGTTTACATCCATGTATTGTATTCTCTAAGATACTTTATACCTTTGGAGGATAGAAAAATTATAAATTTAATTTATATGTTAATGTTTATTATTTACTTGCAATAAAGTCATATTATTATTATTATTATTATTATTATTATTATTAAATTTGTACAATTTACCATATTTTTGCAGTTAAAAAAAGAACAACATTTTTTACCTTAATCATTAGAACTTTTAAACTTTTGTATCACGTGATATCAGAACTGCCAACATTAGAACACGAAAAAATACCCATCTTATAATTAAATAAATAATAGATTTCAGTGTTTTCGGTTAAGGTTTTTAAGCTAGACTATTCGTCTGTTCGGCTAATTTTATTAAATGGTAGGAGCGGTAAATGCCAAAATAAATAAATAATTACTATTGAAAGTTCATTTGTATTGATGGCAGACTATAGCATAAATTATTAAATCAATATTGATTTAATTTAAGAATGAAGCAATGAGATCATAATTATTATTATTTTAATTTTTTTTATTAAATTATTAGGGCTATTTACTTTTTATTGTTGCATTCTATACTTTTTTAAGACAAAAACTTATTATCTAATAATGATATTTTTATGGAGCGACATCTATAATACAATAGAGTAACCATTCTAACGTCATGTTGGTAATTTGGGAATCTGTATTAATTTTCACATTTAGTATTATTTTACAAGAAAGGCACTTTATTTTAACGATTGTATGACATTTGAGAACTGTCAACTAACTTCAGCCCGTGACTAAACCACGATAAGGCCTCAACTTGTCAATGTGTGTTTAAAAGGTCATTAGTGTCATGGAAACATGTACGATAATGGGCGTTTTAAACGTGGAAGTGGAAAAATACATTTTTTGTTTAGTTACACTGTATATTTTATGAAGTTTATACACCTCTTACCTAAAACCATGAGACTTTTGTTAATATTATTTGCTTCCTCCAAAGTTTTTCCTTCACTTTGTGTCTTTTTGGTCATTTCACTGCCAGCCAAATCAACAAAATTTATTTTTCCAGATCTCGATAAAAATACGCCATTCTCTGCTGGCGTTTCTGAAGTTATATGCACGGATAAGATGGTGTGACTTCGACTACAAAAATTAAAAAAAAAAATACAAAATTGAAAGAACCGAAAATGTGAAGTCTACAAAAGATTGATAGTAATTTTTTACAACTGTAAAACTTTAAGCTTAAAAATATTGATTTTTAAAAATTTTAGTTCAAATATTTTATTCTATTCTATTTCCGGTTTAAATTTGTAAATAGTTATTTAAATGATGGTCGATAAATTTTTAATACAAAAATTCTCAAATTACATTTAAATGTAAGTTTTAAATGTTAAAGTGGTAATGTATCAATTTAAAATTGTTAAAAATAAAGAGTTTTGGTTTAAATTTGTAGTCATTTAAATGATAATTTTTAATCCAAAAATACCCTTAAAATTTAAAACTAACATTTAAATCATTTAAATTAAATGTAATGTGATTTTTGTATTAAAAATCTATGTACTATTAATTTAAACAATAATTTTGTAGAATACACTTAAACTTTTACATTTAAAATATTTTTTTATTATCAACCGTTTTGAAATAAAAAAAATTCTACTTTTTAAACTATTTTGGTAGACAATGCTTTTTTATATGTGTTTTTATTTTGAAAGTCTCGACACTATTTTTAAATACTAAAAAATTTAACTTTAATCTAAATAATTTAATAAAAAAATTATTTACGATTTACAAAATAAATTAATTGGAAATAATATTGTTTAATACAGTAGTGATCTGTAAATAAAATTTTAAATTAAAAAAATATTTAACATTTAATGTTAAAACAATTTTTAGTGCAGAATCATTAACATCATTTTAAAATTTGTCTTGTCTTCTTGGACTGTACTGACGTATAGTTTTTTGAGCTTCAGTACGTAAATTACCTTGAATAGTCGTTCATATTGTGTTTCCCCACCGATCTATTCCTTACTCCCTCCTCCAAAACCGCTATCAAATCATCCAGTTCCTCGCAATCAACGGTAAATAAATTCTCCACAAAAAATCCTCGGGCTTTTTTGCTCCACCTCACCGCAAGAGGCTTGCGGGCGCTGCCAGGATTCAACAAATCTATAACCTAAAAAATGTAATTAATTAAAAAAAAAGTGTGCATCGGCCGGGAATCGAACCCGGGCCGCCCGCGTGGCAGGCGAGCATTCTACCACTGAACCACCGATGCTACGGTAAATAAATGAATTTGTTATATTAAAATCCTGATACTAAACAGCATTTTAATACAAATTTACTACTTTAAAGTATATTTTACGGTTAACCAAAATGGTTTTATAACGGTATGGATACGAAAAATTACCAAATTTGGGAATGGTTTATTTCGTTATTTTACCTTCATAATAACCTTTTTGATCTACTAAGAGAATAACGTAATAAAAACAATATAAATACCTACCACAAATTTACGTAAAAATAACGCTATAATTACTAACTGTTTGCTCTCTCTTTCTAAAACATTGACATTCGTAATTTCTTTGTTCTTTTAATTTATATTTCACAAAATGGTACTTACAAAGTAATAAAGGCCACCATAGAGGAAAATTAAAAAATATAACTTAAATTGTCAAAACTAATAATATTTTGCATTAAAACTCAAACGCACAATATTTAATTGATAAAAATAGGCACGATACATCTTAATAATTATATGCCCTCTAAATATTTGACGGTTTTAAGATAAATTATTGCTTGGGTAAAAATTCAACAAAACTTAAAACCTACAAAATTTTATAAAATATTTTAAAAATCATTTAGTTTTAATCATTTTTCATTAACTAAAACTTTCCTTTTTATATTTTAGAAAAATATTTATGAAAAAATATTATACAGTGTGACCCATTTGTTTGCGACTCACCCCTGTAAAATCTTTATTGTGCGATTTTAACCGGATTTGTTTTAAAGTGTAGATCTTGATAAACTGTATTTTTTTAGCCATATTTTTACAAAATACAAGGCCTACTATGTCAGTTTTTAAAAGTCAATTTTTGGTATTCATATTAGCGATTTTTTTTCAAAACCATCCTATAAGTAGGTACTAAATTTTATTAAAAAATTTTAAGTAGAAAAATGCCATCTTAAAAAACTCAATATGGCGATCTGAAAAAAATTTTTCCTTAAAGTTTTATTTTTCCCTGTTTAGTCAATATTAATAGTATTTATAACCACTAATAACCCTAAAAAATACCAGGCGGATAGGAATTATTTACGGTTATATATAAAGTGGTCTTAATATCGTAAAATTATGACTTATGAGTAACATTTAGTAAAAATTCTGACGTTAAAATTACCGTTAAATTTTTCTTTAGGTGAAATACACTTATAAATAATTTTCTTTCGTAAAAATCACGTCCCTCATAATACTTTTTGTTGAAACTTAATGGTTATTTAAATAGGTAAAAATAACATAAATAAAACTTATTAAATAAGTTTTACTTCAAAGTATATTTTTAAGGTTAATTTAACAAAATATTTACTTAAATTAAAGTCCTACTTTCCACTGTAATTAACGATTTTTTACTTACTTTTTCATTGTATATTTCCAAAAAACTAGCTTTTAACACAAAATGTACATCCGGTTTATCTTGAATTAGTTTGAACATATACAGGAAGGAACGGAAAACCAGTCCGTGTTTATCACTATACGGGGTCTTCTTTAAACCAAACTAAAAAAAATATATAAGATTTGCAATATATATTTTTTTTATGTCTTACGAGTCCCGGAGGTCCGGTGAGCGTGTGCGTCTTTCCGCTTCCGGTCTGGCCGTAGCAAAAACAAGTGCACCGGAAACCCTCCACGGCCATCTCGATCAATCTGGTCATCCCTGAGTACTGCAGGACGTCTTCCTGCGTCGCCGCGGGTTCGAATGCCACGTTGTAAGAGAACAGTTTGGGTTTGCGGTCTCCGCTCGGACCGCCTGGCTTGCCATCAACCTAAAGATTAAGAAAATGTTTTTTTTTTAATTTTGTTTATTTTTTTTTTTTTATTAAATTACCAGGACTTGTCCGTTTCCGGGAAATTGGATAACGTTCGATTCTCCATTTCTTGTTTCCTTATCGCCAAGAGGTCTCACTCTATAAAAAATAAAATTTTAAAAATTAAATTTTTCAAAAACATTAATTTAAACATATTTTGGAAAATCAAGAAATTAATTCGTATTATAAAATTGATTTGAGTAGCACAACTGTCAATAATTACCAAAATTATTCAGCCGGGTCAAAACTTTTTTTAATTTTAAATCTACTAATTTGACTATTTCATTCAGTATGACTTATAATTAGTTATTTTTGACTAATTCATTTTAAGAGAGTTAATTTACCAGCGAGTTTTAATATATTTTTTGTAAAATATAACTTGTTGGTTAAAAAAATATTTCCAAACTAACCAAAGCTGTGGTTAATTTACCAAAAATTTATATCAAAATATGTATAAAAAAATAAATGGTCTTAACCTTTTTCAAAGGTTAAATTAGAAGTTAATATAACGATATGTAACTTCTAAAATATCCTACGTGTGAACTGAAAAGTAATATTACTTACTAGATAAATATTTGGTTTAAATTGACTATTAATAAACCAAATATTTAACTACTTAGTAATATTACCAAAAGGTTTCTTTTATGAGTTAATTAAGGTTATAGCAACCGGTTGGTAAATTTAAGAGGTTATTTTTTAGTTCATAGTAACTTAAAAAAATATTAATGGCTAAATACTTAATTGGTTAAAAACAAGTTTAATTTTTTTTTATTTTACTTAGATTTGGTTAATTTACTTAAAATTCCAGTTATTTAACCAGTTGTGCTACTTGGGTATAACTTTCATGTAAATTAAAAAAAATTAAATATCTTTGACGTAAAATCCTATATACAAGGCGTCCCTAAAATGCCGATTTTATTAAATAACTTTGAAAAAACAAATCGCTTTTGCACAACATTTTTTTAAGGGGGGGGATTAAATTTAAAGATGACAAAAATAATATTTTTATTAAAACGTGAATACACTTTAATTTTTTTAAGAAATTTAATTTTCTTGTCGTGAAAAAACCCCAAATATTAAATTTTGTGCAAAAAAGTTTGTTTTTACAAAGTTATTAAATAAAATCGAAAACGAACTTTTAGTTTTTATATAGAAAATATGTGGTATTATTTCGTGCATGCATTTCGGGGACACCTTGTAGAATATGTACCTATAATACATAATGTATTACGTCAAAATTGATTAATACAACTTTTACCACAAGGACAAATTTAACCATCATTAATAAAACACAAACATTTCTATATTTCAAGCAAAAACTAATTTATTCTGAAAATAGAAATAAACTGTGAGCATTTTCTGAATTATAGATGGATATGGATAATTTATCCATTGCCAGGAATACTACGATTTACATATTTTTATTTACTGAAATGGTTTAATCTTTCATCGGGTTATGTTCTATAAAACATATATGCATAATTTACATGTGAAATGCATTTAATTTTAAAGGGTATGACTAATGACAACACCTGATCAATAAAGATTTTATCATTATTAGTAATACCTTATTACTTATTGTTTTAAGTAAATACATTTACTAATTGGTCATTTTGTTCTATAAATAAACGCATAAACCAACATGTTTCAACAACAAATTTCGAAAATGTATAATTTATCCTATATTATTTTAACCCCTCACATTTGAGGGGTTGAAGGCTATTTCCAAATAGGTAAACAAACTTACCGGACAACCACATTGATGTTATCTTCTGTTTGATTGTAACTTGTTATGATTCTTTGAAGATTGTTATCGATATCCAAACGTTCTATACTACCACACCTACAAGAAACAAATAAGCATCTGGTCAAAATACTACAAAATACGAAAATATTGAAAAAAAAATTTATGGTGATATTTTTATAAAAATTATGCAGTTTTCAATTATTTCTGAAAAGTATCTAGTTACTTTTTTAAGATACTTTAAACAAAATAACTTAGTTACATCTGGTAACTAGAAAAGTATCTTTAGTTACAAGATACTATATGAAAGTATCTAAGATACTTTTGAGTAACTAAGATACTTATAAGTAACTAAGATACTTTTGAGTAACTAAGTTACTTTTAAGTATGAATAAAAACTATAAAATTATAAAAATTCAACAAGTGTTTAGGAACATTTCTTACTTGAACATTTTCGCGATATTTTGCTTTTATTTTACCAACAGTCCCCTGGCAAATAGAAGGAAAAATAAGTTGTTCTTAGGATACGGAATTGTGATTTTTGAATTTAAATCACGATTGTTATCTGGTATATTGATCAAATCTATTAACTAATAGGTAATTATGTTATGTTTAATTTGACGAGTAAAGTAAATCTTTTCCTCGAGTAAACATATACCTACATAAAACAAATAAGCACTGCTTTAATAAAACTCGAAATAAAAACCTTCCAAATAATTAACTTAATGTGACTGGCAGCTTGACACGGTTTTTATTTCAATTGATTTTGTGTAATTAAAAAGTTTGTTTGGATATTACTACAACCTTCTAATTTTTCCAGGATATTTGAATACATAAAGGATGTTTCTTCCCTTTAAATGTCGTAAATACCATTAGTTCAAAATGTCAAGTGAAGGTCAAAACACGAGGGTTAATCCGGTTCAATTTAATTTAACCACCAGAGCGCGCGTTGGGGTGAAGAGTCGTTTGATTGAAGGTCAAGTGGTAAAAGGTGGAATCATAATTTTCGGTTTTTTTTATTAGATCTAGACGATATGGAAATAAAAGTCATATTTGATGAAAGTTTTGGAATAAAATTGCTTGAAAGGGGCTAATGGCAGAAGATTTATCTTCTTTAGGAATTATAGAATAAGACCGCGAGTATGTTGGATCTGTTATACCCAAGTAGCATTTTAGTGACGAAAACTAATATTGTAACTTTAAATGGGTGGCAATTACGTTAAAGTAACTAAATCTACCACTATACAGTTGAAATATCTTCAAATTATATTAGCATAGTTATAATCATGTGATTTGCACCAGCAGAATATACTTCATAGTTTTATAACTTTTTGGTGAATGAGTCTGCATGGTATCTGAAATGTTATTACCACTTTTTACACCACCTTAAAGTTGTCTTAACTTTAAAGTAGATTATAAATAATAACGGCAACTACTTAAGTAATACTTTGAAGTGGTAGTGATAGTAAAGTAGGTACACCAATGAATCTGTACACCATTTCTTTAAGGACTATGAAGCATTATAGCAAAATAATTGATTTCATACTTTGAAGTAACTCAATAAATAACCATGAAATGCACAGGTCTCAACTCTTTGGTTAAATATCAATAAAATAGATAGACTTAAAAGTAAAAAATAATTGGTGCAATTTTGTGTACCAACTTAATTTAAGTAGTCAATTTAAATTTTATGTGGGCACTTTGTGACAGTCCTATCTACATGTTACGTTTTACGTGGGCATACATATACATATGTATAAACATACGTGCATGATGATAACAAAAATATATCGATTTTTCGTTCGTAAAAATTATTGTATGTATTACCCTGAACCTTGTGAAATGTATTGTTTACGCTATTATAATTTCACGGGTTTATATCAATAATTTTTAATAAAATTCATTAAGCTAAATTTAAAATAAAAAATCAAATTAGCTCGTTAATGAAATGTACATTTATTAAAAGTAGAAAGTGAGGTTAGATAGATCTAACAGGAATCGAATTTTACGAATATTCCGATTGAAGATAAATAATATTAAAGCATTCCGATGTTTTATATTTCACACGTTTTCAATCGCACATCCTAAAAAATAATTACCAACCTTACGACAAAAAATGATTTGGGTTAATAATGTTAAACATTTCGGTCATGAAAAGATAATTATGTCGGGTAAACCAGCTATTATGACAAAAATTACAAAGTATTCGCTTATTTATAACATGTTTTATCATATAACTCATCTGTAGCTGACACATTTTTAAAAATAAAAATCAATAAGTTACCCCTGCACAACTTACATGTTTTTGTTGTAATATTTTTTCGAAAATTGTATATCTACATATAGACAGAACTTAAAATTTTGCTATAGCAGGTTATTTTTAACGTTTAGTTTGTGTTTTTAATTTTAATACTGTATTATAAAAATATTTTTAATATTTGTTCCTGGAGAAATTCTCATGAGTTTAATTAAAAGATGATATCTACTTTAAACTTTATAAAATATTTATAAACTGCTATCTTGATTAAGCCAGCTTTATTAACAATACATATTTTATTTACATTGTATTTGATAGTGTACTTAGTAATTAATGATATTAAAATATGATCTAATAATTTTGATTCCAATCTAAAAAAAAAGGTTTTATTATATTTGATACATTCTATCGAAAAAGTTACTGAAATATATTTATAAAACAATTTATTTATTTAATTAATTGTCAATATGAATTTCGTCCAAAGAATTTGTATATACAGAGTGCACCAAGTTTCCTTCTATACAGGGCTTTCAATTAAAATATGAAAGGTTATATTTTTTATAACCAAACTTATTAAGGGTAGCTTTTTTTTAATTGTATGATTTTTGGTTTTAAAATATTTGTTTGTTAAATAAAAAATCAAAAAGTTTCCATTTAAATTAATAATTAAGTAATTGAGTGAGAAAGATAAAAGAAACCCCTTCTAGTAAAATTGTTTGGGTTAGAGTTAGACCTTTATAAATTACTATGGATAATAGCTTTAAAGTTAATAATTTTTAAATTTAAAAATCAATAATCGATTTGGACCAATTTACTAAAACGGGAAAATTACAGTAATGTTAAGAAAGTCAAGATATTTTATTCAAATATCTTATCATTGGAATAATATTCAATAATGTCAATGTCAAATAGATTTGTAAAAATATTAGTAATTATTATTTTTTTTTTTTATAAATAAATAAAAACTACATTAATTAATACCCACTTTTTATTTTTGTCACTAAATCACTTAATCAATCATATTAATCACGTATGTGAACTCTCACCCTATTTCCTTCAAAATTTCATTTTAATAACACCAAACTTGTGTACATTTAATGCTTTTTTCATCAAGCCCTTTTAATAATTTAACCAACTATTATTATCAACATTACTGGCAATTTTGTATCAGATAGAAAAGTGATTGATTTACCATATTTCCAAATTTTCGTAGGTAATGTGGGAAATAAATTCACGAAACAGGTGTTGTCTTGACATGAGGGAGACACTTTATACTTAATAAGTTTAATAGCGATAATAAGGTGTTTGTACAAAAATATGTGGACTAAAATAACTATGATTATAAGAAATTTCATTAAAAATGTCAGTGTTCAAAAATCAAAAAAAAGAAAGGTACTTACTCGCTTCCCCTGGACTTCGTCAGTCCCCTGGAACTCGCAGGGCTGTTTCCCCTGGACTTCACCCTCCCCCTTTCGGGAGTGACATTTCGTCCGCGGTCGGGACTCGCTGGACTTCGACCTGTGCGATTCGGAGACGGTGCAGGACTGGATTTAACGCTTTTGTTAGTTTTCCTCGAAGGACTTACACCTCTAGAGCCTGGCGGAGTCTTGTACAAGTTGTCGGGCCGGGTTACCATCCTTTTTTGAAGGTCTGGAGAGCTCATAAGAATGGATGGTGGTTTTTCATCTTAGCCTGTTAATAGTATTGTATATCAATACGATTTACATTAAAATAATATAATTTTGAAATGCCAAATGATATTTTTTTATAGTGCATCTTGTAGAACGTGGAAAATCCGTTTGTTTGATACCCCACAAGCCCATGTTCGTCATTTGTTTAAGGGTAGTTTTGCACGTTTAAGTATTGCGATCTTCATTTGTTCAACTTTTTTGTTTTTTGTCTAAACATAGCGATGTTGGTACTCATTTCACGTGATTTTTTGCGTAGATTGCGAAGATATAAATGAAAATACGATTTACTTTAAAATAAAATGAAATAATTTTGAAATGCCAAATAATATTTTTTTATAGTGCATCTTGTAGAGCATGGAAAATCCGTTTGTTTGATACCCCACAAGCCCATGTTCGTCATTTGTTTAAGGGTAGTTTTGCACGTTTAAGTATTGCGATCTTCATTTGTTTAACTTTTTTGTTTTTTGTCTAAACATAGCGATGTTGGTACTCATTTTACGAGATTTTTTGCGTAGATTGCGAAGATATTAATGAAAATACGATTTACTTTAAAATAAAATGAAATAATTTTGAAATGCCAAATGATATTTTTTTATAGTGCATCTTGTAGAACGTGGAAAATCCGTTTCTTTGATACCCCACAACCCATGTTTGTCATTTGTTTAAGGGTAGTTTTGCACGTTTAAGTATTGCGATCTTCATTTGTTCAACTTTTTTGTTTTTTGTCTAAACATAGCGATGTTGCTACTCATTTTACGTGATTTTTTGCGTAGATTACGAAGATATTAAGAAAAATACGATTTATTTTAAAATAAAATGAAATAATTTTGAAATGCTAAATGATATTTTTTTATTGTGCATCTTGTAGAACGTAATTCCTCACAAGCCCATGTTTGTCATTTGTATAAGGGTAGTTTAGCACGTTTAAGTATTGCGATCTTCAAAAGAAACGTTTCGTCTAGATTTTCTCGTTTGAATATTTTTTTTTTAAGTTAACATCATAAATTAAATACAAACACGTGCCTCTACGTGCATACATAGGTAGATCGCATCTGCCACAATCAAAGGGGGTATGATGGTTAATGTCTAATTAATTTTTAATGTGGGATACTTACCCTGCGATGGTCGTCATTTATTTTCTTTTAATCGTTTTAAGCGGACGTTTCAAGCACACAACACCAACAGCCCTTAACGCATGGTCGCTGCTAAATACTGATTGGACAACGCGTCGGCCGCTTCGAAAACAAACGCGAGGGAAAACTGACATTGGACGCGTCGCTACGGTCCTCCAATTAATACAAAACGACGCCGTGCACTGTGGAAAAAAATGGTGCTTTGTGAGGATATATATATATATATTATATATATGTATATTAGGGTGGGCCAAAAAAACTTTTTGTCTTTAGTTAGCATGAAAATATCGTTCGAGATGACGAAAAAAAAATTCTGATGAAGTTTGAGCTCCTAATATTAATATTAAGAGGTGGCTCATCGCGATTTTTTATTTTACATTTAAATACGGGATATTTCGTTTTAACGAATTAGTAAGTTGTAGAAATCAATACATATTCTTGTAGGAAATAGAACGATCTACAAAAAAGATCCTATATAATTTTTTGCTTAGTCGACTCTATTACGAAATATTGGCTCAAAACATGAAATATTATATTTTTCGTGAAGTTTATCGAGTGTACTTCGGTAAAACAATACAATTTTTACGAAATATCAAAAATCGTAAATTTTTTTTTTATCGAAATTTTTTCTTAAAAAATAATATATTCTATATTACTCAAGAAGACCATATTTTTTAAAATTATTTAATTTAAGCTCCATTATCACACAAAACTCACAACCTATAGGTTTATATATGAAGCTGTATTGAGGCTAATTTTTCTATTCAGGTAACAATGAAAACTGCAAAACCATTACTTTTTAACCAGTTTATTAATTAAGGGTAATTTACCAGGGAGTTAAAATATATTTGGTAAAATATAACTTGTTGGTTAAAAAACAAATCCACATTAACCAAAGCTGTGGTTAATTTAACCAAAAAGTAATATCAAAAGTTAAACTAAAACAAAATATGTCTAAAAAAATAACTAGTCTTAACCATTTTCATTGGTTAAAATTAGAAGTTAATATTACGTTATGTGACGTCTAAAATAACCTACCTTTTTAACTTATTGGTGATATTACTAACTAGTAAAATATTTGGTTTATTTATAGCCAATTAAAACTCTTGAAATAACCTTAATTTACCAATAGGTTTCTTTTATTAGATAAATTTTACTAAAAAATAACCATTAATTTACCTTAAGGTTATAGAAACCGGTTGGTAAATTTAAAGGGTTATTTTTTAGTTCATAGTTAACCACTTGTGCTACTTGAGATATTTTATTATATTTAGCATATCTGCTAATTTTTCAGATTATTTTAAAAAACAGACATGATTTTCTAAAAATTTTATATTATTTATTTGTTAAAATATTCCAATGGGTGCATTCACCATTTTTTTAAATTATTTTAACTTTTAGTGGGAACTATAGTAGTTTTGAGTATTAATTTTAAAATTCAAAAAAATTGTTTTTTTAAACATATTTAAAGTTATTATTGCAATATATAATTGTTTTTAATAATAATTTTATCTTCAGTTTTTTTACATCCTAGTCTATAAAAGACTCGTCAAGACCAATAAAAAAATCTATAAATGCTGACACATCTAAACCTATCTAACCTCACTTTATACTTTTAATACATGTAATCGTTTAACAAATACATTTTTGAAAAATAAATAAATTTAAAAATTACGGATTATGGACATTTGAAAATCAACGCCAGGAAACTGAGAATAAAACAGAAAATATACTAAAATCAACGTTTATGATAATACCATAATTTGACTTTTTTTTTTAATTTAATTTATTTATTTAACATTTTGGGGTTGTCAAGAATTTTGTAAAATTTTGATTTTTTATTCTAGACTAGGTTAATAATTTTTTCTTCGTTAAGTTTTATTATTATATTTTTCACATTTTTTTATTTAAATATTAAATAAATATTAAAGATTCACATTTATATATTTCTTCAATTTTTCCAACAGTGCGAAGCGTCTCAGGTCAAACAATTTACTTTTTTTTCCTTTAATATACTACGTTTACAGTTTTTTATGCGAATATAATCTATGGAAATTTTTACCACGAATTTTAAGCCGTAACATGTGTGATTTTTGCAGAGATTACCCATTATTAGGTGACTCACTCCCAGAAAAACATCAAAAGTAAATGAAATGTTTTATACCTTTAAATGGAAAACTGACGTGTTCTTCAATATAGAGTTCAATTTTTTTTAATCAATTATAATGGCTACTTTCACAATCTAAATGCATCTTTTTAATTGAAGTTAATAAAGTATAATGTGTGAACTGACAATTCTAAAATTAGCATATTGAAAAATAAATTCGTCTTAATTATTATTCCTGTAAACAATACCGTGCTTTCTTTTGAACTTTATACATGGGAATTAAATTGTACAATTGAAATATACTTAATGACTTTATAAAATTAAGATAATACAATAATTTTCACATTTATTATTATTTTACAGAAATTGAACTTTATTTTAAAGATTGTATGACATTTGTCAAATGTCAACTAACCTAAATCCAACTTCAGCCAATGACTAAAATGTCATAAAGTTGTGTACAAACATGTACGATAATGGGCATTTTAACGGTGGAAGTAGAAAAAAATATTTGTTCATTTTTATCAAAGAATACATATTTTCTAATACCTATGCCGGTATTACGTGATCTAATATTTCCTAAACAAGTTTCTATAATATTACAACAAACATCTGTTAATATACAGGAAATGTGTCGGTTTAGGTAATATAGAAATAATTTTGTAATCGTTATAGGCAAAAGTTAACAATTTTTTTTTTAAGTTGTCAATTAAATTTTACATACAAAGCGTTTATAAATTGTTTTTTTAATTTACTAATGTTGCCATTTACTTTATTTGAGTAGGCCATCACTTAAATTTATTTGATGGGTTTTATCAATATTTAACAAGGCAATTTGGTTATTTTTATTCCCGGCACATTCGCCATTTTTGTAAATAATAATAAAAGTCATTATTATTTTTAAGATTTATACAGGGTGTTATGTAATTAATGTAATAATTACATAAGGTCTAACGGAAAAATATTTAAAAACATATTTTCCCAAAGATAAAGAAAAAATATGCATTAGGTTTTTATATTTTTTGTGATACACCACTGGTTACACACTTGTGTTCAAAAAAAATAATGTAGTTGAGTTAATGTTTGTCTTAATGTCATTTTTTAAAATGTTGTTTTATCAAAAAATCTATTGGATTATTGGTATATTGGTGTCAAAGCAATAGTCAGAGTTTGTCAAAGTTTATTTGTTTATTTGACAGTTAAAATATTGATTTAACCACAATTGTGGATTTAACATAAACTAATTTTTTTAATTAAAATGTTTTTATATATAATTTAATTTAGGGCCATATATTTAAAAACAAATTTAGTTATTTATTTTATATTATTTTGGAATTAAAATTGGCAAAACATTCTTCCTTTCTTAGGCTATAGCCTATAGCTACCTACATTAAATAAAAGAAGCAATAAAATAAAATTTTTATAAAAGAAGAGATAATTTTAATAATGGACAAGAGAAATATTTTACAAAAAATGTTTACAAGTTGGCAAATTCTAGGGACCCTAAATTTATAATGGGCCACAGTAAAAAACTAATTTAGTGAAGAATATAATTGTGGTTATGTTTATAAATTATGAAATGTCAAATATAAGTTTTTAAAAAATGAAATAATTTTGCAGTCGATGGTAGCTTTACGGCATTTCCAGCGTAGAAAATTCCCACACATAACTTAAATAAAAGTTTTTAAAAATTTTAGTTAGAAAACTTTTTTGTTTATTAATTAATTTTTAA